AAATGTGAGTGTGCACACAATATTCTACATTATATCTGGATAGAAAGTGCATAAGCATCTTTATAGTCTGATTATCACTGCATGCTTCTACATTAATAAAGGGGATACTCTGCATATTGCCATAGAAACTGAGCTTATGCAGATCACAAAAACCCACAGTAAACTGAGACAACCTGTGAAAAACACTTCAATACACACGTTAATTAATATTAATTTAATTCAAGGTTTTGGATATAATATTGCTTGTTGGATGCCTGACAAAAACCATTAAGACTTCACACAGTGTACACAAAACACACACACACACGATAGTACAGTATGACTGATGTCATTAACACACTTGGCATCCAAGAGCGGTCAGTCCTCATCTGCCAAGACAGAACAGAAGAGGAGGAAGCTGTGAAGCATTGATAGTGGAGAACATGGGGCTGGTTGTTGTTGGGATGGAGGCTTGTGCAGGTAATAACCCACTAGAGCCGCAAACATACGCAAACAGATACAATTATGCAAAACAGGATTATGTCCATTCGTTTCTCCGGCTGTGGCGTGACTTTAGCGAAGGGGAGACCGGCACGCTTTCCTAAGCCACCCGTGTTTTTTTAGGCTTGGCAGGACGCAGAGTCACACCAGCTGGTTCATGGATGATGTGAGGAGGTTTTCAATTATGACTCTCAAACGAGCGACCCTGGATCAGGATTGGTTTATGAACACTCTAAAACTGATGCAATAACATCCTGTTGGCTCTTCTTGATCAGGCAGACTGAGTGACGCCGTGCAGATACTGAATGTTGTACAATATATGGGATACATCATGTGTCTGCTGACAGGAACAGATTATATTTACACACAATGTAAACAAGAATATATACATGAGTATATATATATATATATATATATATATATATACTCTATACTGTAAAACGATATGATATGACTGCAATAAATCAGCTGATATATATTTTTATAGATATAACAGTCGAGCTCTGGGGTACCTAGAAATGAAGTTGGGAAATTAACTTTTTTAAATGTGAAAATCTAGCCAGACACTCAATAGTAAATCGATATTTTCTGTCTGAAATCTACCAGCCACCTTCATATTTTATGAATAAAATGTTGCTAATGTCTCACCCTTGTCTGGTTCCCAAGAATATCCCAGTATCTTTACACCAGTGCACTTCCAGATTAATGAGCAATTAACAGATCTAAAATGTACCTTCTGAACCATTTAAAATCTAAAAGACAAAACGCACATGTTGGTTTTTCTGCAAATAAACTGTAAATAACATCAGCTCGCAGCACTTCACCACACGTAACATATTCCACCGTTCTGACTGGGTGCAAAAACGTTTCACACTCATCAATGATGGCGTCACAAGCATGCACTCACATTCCCACCTGTCTGTCATGGGCATCAAATCCTCATCCTCATTAATGCTGTTTGACAAAGCTCCAGAAATCTGCATTTCCTGCTTTATAGAACTCATTACCAGAGAAAACCTACAGTATAGAGACAAAACCAGTGATTCACAGCTTTAAATGAAGTAATAAAGGTGCTTTTGGAAACTGATCTTTAATGTAAAAACTTCCTGAACACACTTATTGCTTTCATTCATGCGCTTTCTATCAGCCTTAAGCTTGACTCTTTGATAAAAGCCAATGTCTGGTTCCTCAGATGGATGTAGGTTTGGCAGCAGCTGACGCCATCAGGAAGGTCCACGGGAAGACCTACACTGTAGGAACGTCACCGGATGTATTGTGTAAGTCCACACTTCAGCTCAATATGGATACGTTTCCGTATTGTCTTTCTTGTCTCATCAGTGGCTACTAGAACGCTTACCAGGAAGCTTACAGTCAGATTTTCCCTCTTTTCTACAGACCCCAACTCTGGTTCATCCAGAGACTGGGCTCGCATGCAGGGGATCCCCTTGACCTACACCTTTGAGCTGAGAGATAACGGCACCTTCGGCTTCGAGCTTCCCGCGGATCAGATCAAGCCGACCTGCGAGGAGGCCTACAGCGGAGCCCTGCACATCATCACCTACGCCCACGACAAGGCCTTCAACGGGGCCGTGGCGACCGCCGCTGCTGCCCTGTGGACCACGCTGTTAGCAGTGGGTGTCGCCGGCACCAACCTGATGTGAGGCGCACGAGGGAGGCTGACCAAAGCCTGCGTAGACGGCACTAGTGTTTAGTTTGGATTTTAAGTTAGTTTTAGAAACAGCTTTTATCCTCGTTTGTTGTCGAGTATTGAAACGTATCTGTCGATGTGACGTGCATCCACTGTTGTCTTTGAAATGTTTATATCCTAAACTTCCAGGAATGTCATATTGCATAAGCCAAGAGTTGATGCAGTACAATATTCCCAGGTCTATTTTTTAAGAGCAGTAATAAAAATCCTTGAATATGTTCCACTTTTCTTGCGTGTGTTTTAAACATTTGAGAAGGCCATTCATTTACTTTAACACAGGAAATAGAAACATCTGAATTAAATTTATTTGTAGTATAATTTGCTTAAAATCCGAATAGATGCACAGTTTACAATCTGAATGTCACAAACTCCTAAAATAGACAATAACAGTTCATAATTCTGTCAGAAATTATAGTATGTACCATAACAGAACAATGTTTGAGAGACAGCAGATAAACCAAGAGGTTGAGTTTTGAATTTATTATTTTTTGGGGGAAGGCCAGTTTCACCGCTGAGTCTCAGTGTTTCTTACTGTGCTCCTGAACGGCTGGAAGCCTTGCTGTCTCAGACCGGCTAGCGGCAAGAAGAGCTGCTCCTCAGGAGGGAACTGGTCCCACTGCGTCCACGTCCAACCTGGGAGGGAGAGACCAACACATTCTTCATTACTACCTGCTCAGAGAGGTGGGACTATTGTTTTCCCCATTTAAAACCTGTTCCTCGTCACGTACCCTCGTTCTTCTCCGGCTCCAGGTTCTCTGGCTCTCCTGACAGCTTCCTGTCCAGTTCTCCTTGCATGATGATGGTGACGTAGTGGTACTCCTCCTCCAGTCTGATGGAGTTCACCACTGACGCAAAGCAGACGTTTACCAAACGCACTCCTGTTTCCTCCAACACCTCTCTGTGGGCGCACTCCTCCCACGTCTCCCTTTCAGTGACATAAACATGTGTCACAACAACTGGACGTCACCATATTCAGGTCTTTCACAGTTTCACATTTTAGGGCAGGAGATATGGCCTGAAGGGTATCATAAACATTACCCAGCCTCATTACCTTACACCAAACTGCATTTAAAATATAGCACATTAGTAATTGTGCACACTTAATATGCAGGCATTTGTCATAATGCAAATTCAAAACACGTTTTAAGATTTACTGAACTGTTTGGAAGAATTCGGCATAATAATAACTGACTAAAATGGGTTTATTTCATTAAAATCTCTACTATGATGACAGGAAAGCGCGTCAAGTCTTTGGTTTCAACAAGAGTTGTTTGCTGTATTTTATGAATGAAGGCTGGTATTAAACATTCATTAACGCCCTTGCGTCATACACACACACGCCGCTGTGTCAGATTTGTGAATGGACTTTGCTAACTTGCTGACCCACCTACCCAAACTCCAAGTGGCCACCGGGGAGCTGGTGTTTCCCTTTGCCCATGTCGCTTTTCCGTCTTCCCAGGAGAACACAGCCTGGGTGGGCTGAGTCTGTCACCAGCACTCCGACCCCAACTCCTGGACGTTTCACGGTTTTGTTTGACATCTAGTAAAACTTAAAAATTACACATTAAGGAGCCGGTTAGCTAAACACAGCCAACTCGGCAGTGTTACACTAAAGCTACCAGGAGGTACAAGAGGGTTCCCTGCTCTGTACTTCCGTTTTCGCTTTAAAAAAAAATATCGTTTTAGGAGAGACAGCCCTTCTGTTGTTGTCTTACTTTTGGTAAATTATTATTATTATTATATTTAAAAAGCGTGGCAACAATATAATGACATATAAGTTATAAGTTGCTGTTATAGTTGTTATATTTAGTCTAAAAGTAAACTCTTTTGACAGTTAGTCTTTGGCTGCATGGTGCCTCTGCAGCATACATTTCTCTCTCTCGCCAAAACCTCTATAATTACTTATTTTTTATATAATGGACACTAATTACACTTAAAAGCACCAGATGATGCTGCTAGAAGAATCGGGGTGCAACACTGCCACCTAGTGACAAATTGTGCTTAGTGTATATTCCAGTTTTAGAACAACAGGTCAGGTTAAGGTCAACTGTAATCACTGTTCTTAGCAGGTGTAAATTATTATATCACTTAGATATGGTGGGCATGGGTAAGAAAATATAGGATATTTAAGTATGACACCGTATGTTTGTCATTGTAAGAAGAGAGCAAAGAGGATTTACTGCTATGTAATCAGATCTGAGGGCTTAATGGAGGTTTATCAGGACAATTTAGCCAAACTAAATCTGTTTTTAATCCACTTGTAAACCATCTTTTTTTCTTTCTGTTGCTGTCAGACAACAGTGTTTGGGCTAGTTACTCATTACTCTTTACAAAAGTAATATTATTACTTTACTTATTACTCCCTGCCAACAGTAATTAGTTACACTATTAGTGTTGATAATGAGACAAAATATCCCTAAATAAAAACCTTATGAGGCCCTGAAACTGAAAACACTCGTAGCTGAACTCACTGAGCACAAACTAGCCGAGGAGAACTAGCTGAGGCTACTCTAAAGTTCCCATATCCTACTTTGAAGTTACAGCCACTGTTAGAAGAGTTTATGCAGTGATATTACAAAGTACGTATGATATGGATAATTATAGATAATTATCATTACATGCACTGGCTGTGGCAGTTTCATGATGAACATGGGGCAACAACTCTACAGGTGAGCTACCTGGGGGCCCCAGTAGCTGTACTACATTTAAGGGGCTCCTATTTTTAAAATCTGGGTTTTCACTGAGCTTCAGCTCCAAAGCAGCAAATGCTTCCTCATCAGTGAAGGGGAGCATGGCCTTAAGACCAGTTCAGTGGAGTCATTAATGGCCTCTGCAGCAGCTGTAGGATTTGGCTCTGCTGCTGCTGGAGGACTCTCTGCTGGGTCTGTAGCTTCACTGCTGTAAAACAATACAAAGAGAATTTCTGTAGGTATGTCAGCATTCATTGGCTCTCCTGATGATGGAGACGGAGGTAAACATCATTCTGGATCATCATCATAACCATCATCGTCTTTACTACCCGGGCAGACTTGCCAATCTGCTGCTTAACTGGTGTTTTCTATTCAGATGATGAATCAAGTGATTATGATTCAGAAACTGTTTTTCGCAACAACAAAAAAAGAAAAATAAATGAGCTTGTGGCCGGCAGCCCAGGTTGCACTTGTAGAGGCTGCAGCCTGTGTGTGGGAAATGAGGCATAGTTAATGGCAACATTAAATGTTAATGGTAGGTTGCTGCTAATGCTGGTGATAATTATTTATGAGGCATAACAGTGCAACACAGTGTTTATTTCAGCTTATTTTAAGCCCCATGGTAATCTATTACTGCTCCAAACTCCATTCTAAATATCACTTTTTTAATGTAGTTTCACTTACAGCAGATTACTGATAACAGGTAGAACATAATATATGATCTTTTAAGAAAAAGAAGAAAGAAGAATGTCATGTTCGTTGTTCATTCAGCATGAATTGAACTTCTAAATATCTCTTTATTGTGATAATTAATCACTTTCACTGGTTCACATGTCCTATCTGTTATTTCCTACATATAAACGTTTTTAGTGGAATTTGGCACACAGTGTTCATATAAGAGAAAACTATAATATATTGCCACTGAAACACTTGGGAACAACTGGACTAGGCTCCCTTACTGTATACAAAATAGTGAACTAGATCCACCCTGTTAATAATGTAATAATGTCATTTCTACAGTGAGTACATTTAAGCACATTTTGCTCTTAATACTAATGTATTTTTACATTTTTATATGCTGGACTGAAACTCATTTCACCACTGGTTTGGTGAAGTGATTAAGTGATCAGTCCATTCACACCTTTACTCTCCTGGCATTTAGCAGTTTTCCACCAACACCCGTTTTCCCCGCTAGACCTGCCTGGCGGCTCTGGCCCCGCCCCTCTCACCTCTCCCTACCCTCACCTGAGACACACAGCACTTTCCTCCACGAGTCCAAACACCTGGACCTCTTCAATTCTCTGCATCTTTCTCTTCCTCTAGTCTGCTTTGGATTTTTAGAGCTGCCAACCATCCCTCTGCTCTGTGTTCCCTCAGTTTCTTCCTCACATTGTGTGTGACAGTGGCAACATGAGTGCTAAACTGTGGACAGAGGAGCAGTTTAACTGCCCTGTGTGTCTGGATCTCCCAAACGACCCGGTCACCATCCCCTGTGGGCACAGCTACTGCATGGGCTGCATCAAGGACTACTGGAGCAAGGACGACCCCAAGGGGACCTACAGCTGCCCCCAATGCCGCCAGTCCTTCTGCCCCAAGCCCTCCCTGTCCAGGAACACCATGCTGGCTGAGGCTGTGGAGCAGCTCCGCAAAGGGGCCAACAAAGCTGACGTGCGTGAGTCTATGCGAAGCGCCCGTGGGGGTCCCTCTTCCTCATCTAGATCCAAAGGGAAGCTCTCCTCCTCAGCAGTGCCGTGCGACCTGTGCAAAGGAGAACAGCGAGAGGCGGTGAAGAGCTGCCTGGTGTGTATGAGCTCGTACTGCCAGGCCCACCTGAAGCCCCACCAGACCAAGAAGGCCCTGAAGGCGCACGAGTTGATCGCACCCACGGGCAACCTGGCTGAGAAGATCTGCACCCAGCACAAGTACCTGCAGGAGTTCTTCTGTCGCCAGTGTCAGATGTTCGTCTGCTGGCTGTGCACCAGCAACCAGCACAAAGGCCACGAGTGTGTGTCCACCAAGGCTGAGCGCTTGGAGAAACAGGTAGGCAGGAAATGGATGCTGCTCTGGCCTCAGGCTAGCAGCCCCCAGGGGCCCTCGACCAGTTACCAGAGTGCACTGTTGTGTGATAGGCTGGGTAAAACCACTTTTTGTAAGGGTTTTATGTTGTAATTACACAATGTAGAACCAGTTAAGAATATAGGCCCATTATGTGTGTTTGTCAAACCAGATATAATTACTCAACCATGCAGGGCTGGAACTGACTATTTGTCCTATAAAAGTGAAATAAGGAGAGAAATTTGTCCATCAGATTGTTTGTTTTAGCCAACAAACACTTCAAGACCCAATGATATTCAGTTTGTTATCAAGGAAGACAACCAGTAACTATATATTATTATTTTCATTACTACATTACTTTTAAATCAATGTTGCTTATAAAAATGAGATGATATAGAAGTTATAAAAATAGTTGCCAATTAATATTCTGTAGTCGACACGTGAGTTGAAAATGTTTCCAACTTGAGGTAAATTTCCCGCATATGAATCTACTTTATAAACAAAATAAGACACCAGAGGAAAAGGGTGAGAGACTGGAGGGAACTTTAGTTTCTAATTTCAATCAGAGGCCTAACTCAACACAAACACACACAGAAACACTCCCATAGACACGGTTGGTGCGTCGAACTTACATACAGTTGGTACATTGGAGCAGCTAAATGTTGCAGGGGTCAATTTTGCGCGGATAATATGAAGGACATTTTCTTTGTGTCTGAAAACACATGATTCATTCTGACTTGTTGAACATTTCATTTGTTGAACAATAGAAAGTGAGCAACTGTTTCTAGAACAGGTGACAATCACCACAGTCTGTTCTGTGTGATGGGTTTCTATTTAAGGTGTCGTCCTCTCTTCTTTGTGTCTGTTTGTGGCTCCGGCCAGGCGGAGGACATTCCTAACTACATTCCTGTCCATTCATAACGCTCCACCCTCTCACGTTGTCTTCTGTGTCACGCGTACAGCTGTTTCCTTGTGCTTGTGCTTGTGTGTGTGAGATGGATGGGGATTGTTTTGACGTAATGTCTTCATGTCTCCTGCTGCAGAAAGTGATGTCAGAAATGCAGACGGAGAATCAGCAGAGGCTTAAAGACAGAGAGCAGGAGCTGAAAGACATGAAGAAGATGATGGAGGGGATGAAGGTTGGTCAGAGTGGCATTCATTTTCTCACTGTACGTGTACTGTGGCACACTGAGCTTATCTTCCCCTTCCTGCACAGCGTTCGGCAGACCGGGTACATGGCGACACGGAGCAGGTGCTGTCAGAGCTGCAGCGCTCAGTGGAGCGTCTGCAGGAGCTGCTGGAGGAGGTGCTGGATCAGGCCGGCCTGGAGAAGATGGGCCACGCTCAGGAGGTCGCCGACAGCCTGGAGGCCGAGGTCAAGGAGCTGAAGAAGAGGGACACGGAGATGAAGGACCTGCTCCGTTGCGAGGACCACATCCACTACCTGCAGGTGGGTTGGACCAAGAAGTCTCCAGAAAGGAGGGTCTAATGGAAGGCATGATGGGAAATGCCTCCCTGGGGCATGCTGCTTTAAACCAGATGCCAGCTGCCCTTTGTGGCATAGCGTGTGCTCTGTTTAATGAACATTATGCTTTTAAGATACATTGAAAGGTCCTGACTGCAGTCGTTTTCCCTAAAAGTCAAACTAACCGCCATATTTCCATCAGAAATATGAGTCCATTTGCACTCCCCTGGAGACCAGCGACCTGCCCCCTGTGGTGGTCAATCCAGAAGCTTCCTTTGAGCCTGTACGAGACGCAATCCTGGACCTCAGGGAGAAAGTGGAGGACCTGTGCAACCAGGAGCTTGGAAAGATCACCAAGCAAGGTCCATCTCAAAAGTCTTGTTTTTGTCCCACCTTCTTTTCTGTTCATGTCTTATCTTTCTTCATCTTGTTGTCCTTTCTCTTGCAGTCAATGACACAACACTGTTCACTTTGGGAGACCGTAAGTACCAAACGTTTTCATTTTCAACATGAGCATAACAGGAGTTGTAGGTCTGATTACTTTTTGTTTAAAAATGACTTCCTCTTTCCTCATCTAGCCAACCGCAACGCAGGACAGAAAGGAGGGATTTTTAAACGTGAGTCTGTCATTTTGTGTGAATATATTACTGGACTACACTACACAATCCTGAAACTCACTTTTCAAACTGATTTCCCCTTTTTCTGTAGTGTTTTCTGGTCTGGGTTCTCGCAACACAAACAGCCGTCCGGCAGGTATGTCTAATGTCTTTAAGTCTACATTTACTACATCTTATCAGCTATATCAGCTCTTATTTAAAGACATGTATTATACACATTATTTCTTTTATGTCTCACAGCTTCCACACCAACTATCTCAGTTGGAGCGCGGAGTACAGACAGACGAGGACTCGGTACTGTGCACTGACATTCATTATAATATGTGTGACAATATTGAAAATAATTCAACATGCATGCCTCGTTAAACATTTGAACATTTTATTATTCAGGTATAGGCCTCAAAAGTCAAGACGTGAGGAGCAGAGATACACCACGAGGTGAGACTGCGTGTGTACTCTTTAAAAAACCCTAAATTAATCTCAGACCTGCAGTGTGCCTCACAACCATGGTTGGAGCAGTAAAAATGTGTGTGTGAATGTTTTAAATCTGTGCTTCTTCCTTGTAGCAGACAGAGGAAACACGAGCTCACCCAGACTTCGGGACAGACAGAGAAGAGAGGAAAGAGAGACAGGTAGATTTTGAAAACTTCCTGATAGCAATGTGGCTGTCTCTTTGCACTCTCAAAACAACTTTTGAAGAAGTTACTTTTGACCTTAACATTTAGACTTTGAGATTGTGGCTCCTAAACTTTGGAACTATTTCCCTTTAGTCTTAAGATATGTTGGCCCTCCACTGATTTTAAATTCAGTTCACTTTACATGAGTGGAGTACCAGTGAATATAGTTGAACAATGCCTTGGAGGCGGTGCTGTTTCAGCTTGTACTTGAAGGCAAGAAATGTACAACAGACCGCAGCTCTGATTTCACATGTCTTCCACACAGTGAGGGAGACCAACAACAGACCTAGTCCCAGACCCAGCCCCACTCCCAGCCGCAGAGAGTCTCAGTCTCTTTGGAACAGGTCCAGTCAGAGCCAGGCTACTGCAGTCCCAACCCCAACCCCAACTCCGACTCCAATCCCAGCCACCCCAGCTCCAGCTCCAGCTCCAGCTCCCACTCCAGCTCCGGCTCCAGCTCCTGCACCAGCATCAACTGGAGGTACAATACCAGCCATTTTCCAGTTGCTATTTGCCACCACCAAGTGGCAAAACCTGTATAGTGCAGCTTTAACAAGGAATAAACGCTCATGTGAGAGTGTAACACCTTTACTGTCTTTGTCTTCCCCTCCTGGTTTGTTCAGGTTTCAGTCGGATGGCGTCGATCAGCAGCCTCTTCCGCTCCCATCGGCGTGGCACCAACCCGGCCACGCCAGCAACCCCGGCCAATAATACAGCGTCTGCAGGAGGAAACCCATGTAAGGCCTGACTCCACCTCCCATACTTTCCTCTTTAATCGCACTGTTAAAATCAGCTCAATATTCTGCAGTGGGAGGAAACAGAAAGAGAGGAAACAGGGCCTAGATGCTAAATGTAGATGAGAGCTGAGTGCCTTTTCACCCCACTACATATTAATATATATATAAGGACATGCAAGTTGTAAATAGCCATTTGATTTTGATGATGTGTTACAATCTAAGTGTGTGACTTGTGTACACTCAACAGGGGCGATGGCTGCTCTGCCTGAAACACCAACAGAAAGTAAGATGTCATTTTGACTCATTGCCTCATTCAGTCCTATCACTTTAACACTAGTATGTTTGTATATGTTAACACTCGTGTCTAACATTGTTTCCTCATTGGACAGTTAACCCAGGTCTCTTCTTGGACTTGCCCACTCCAACCACCATGAATCATGCTCCTGCCTTCCCTGCATGTGAGTTAATGCAGACTTTTATGCCATTTTGAAACATTAACATAACTATTTGTAAAATGTGCATGAACTGATGTATGGTTTGGTTTTCCAGTGAGAGAAATCAGCATCGACAGCATCCAGGCCCCAGAGCCAAGGAGCAGGGAGGAGTTCCTACAGTGTGAGTTTCAGTGTTTAATTACAATATCACATATTTTTTTAATACTTTTTATTATTTTTCTTATTCTGTACAGCACTTTGTCAGTGATCTGTGTTTAAATGTGCTTTATAAATAAATTTTACTTTACTTTACTTTACTTACACATCAGTAAGTAGGTCAATATTGTGTGACGCCAGCACTTTTACCCAAATCACAGTCTTCATCAGCAGATAGGGTTTGCTCAGTTGTCAGCGATATTGATCTGTGAATAATTGTTCACTAAATCCTCTTTCTAGACTCTGTGACCTTTACTCTTGACCCCACCACGGCCCACCGACGACTGGCTCTCTCCGAAGGCAACACTAAAGCCACCCTGCAGGGAGCGGCGCAGCCCTACCCCGACACACCCCAGCGTTTTGACGGCTGGACCCAGGTGATCTGCCAGGCCCCGTTGTACGGCCAGCGCTGTTACTGGGAGGTGGAGTGGAGAGGTCGGGGCTCCTCCATAGGTGTAGCCTACGGGGCGCTGAACAGGAAGGGCTCCGACGCCAGGGCGGGGCTCGGTTACAACGCCCAGTCCTGGACCCTGGAGCTGTCGGACACCTGCTGCTCAGCCATGCACGACAACGAGAAGCGGGACATACCAGTCACCTACTCCCCGCGCCTGGGCATCTACGTGGACCTGTCCACGGGGACGCTGGCTTTCTACAGCGTGGCCGAGAGTATGACACACCTCCACACCTTCCGGGCCAACTTCACCCAACCGCTTTACGCTGCCTTCGGGGTGGGTAGTGGAGTCGGGGTGGGCCTAGACTTCGCCCTCGGCCAGTTCAGCTCCAGCTCTGACAGCATCAAGATCTGTCCCATGTGAGGGCTGGAATCACTGATTGGCTACATCAACAACTTCAGAGATACATAAAGTGTTCATGCTGATCAAACTCATTGGGAAGTCTCAGGACACATTGACTGAAAGCTTTTGTAAAATGTGGTCGTACCTGATTTTATTTTTCATATTTTTAAAATGCACTTAGTGAAACACAAACAGCAAACACTGCATTGTTTACAGCCTGCTGGTCGGTCCACCACTTTGGTCCAGACTGAAATAATCTCAAAATCTATTGAATGGATGGAGTTTGTAGAGACGTTTTTGGTCCCTGAAGGATGAATCATAATGACTTTAAAAAATCTCCTGACTTTTCCTCTAGCGCAATCATTCAGTCAAAAGTTGAATTTATTCAAGACTTGGTTTATGGCCAAGTACCTAACAATACTGATTACATTCTCATCAGCCTCAGCTGAGCTGTACTTTATGTTTAGTGCCTATTAGCCAAAATTAGCTTTAAGCTAAGATTGTTAACCTGGCAAATAGAACCTGCTAGAGATCAGGTTCATCTAAGTTTCCACAAAGCCAGAAAAAAATATTGTTCTTTACCAAACACAAGATTTATTTTAAGTTTAAGACCAAAAACTCTGTATACTGTACACCGAAGTGACATTTTTAATGTTTTCACCCAAATCTGAAATAAAAAAAATAAAAATTCTGTATGCGACGTCTGGTGAGTTTTTCCATCAAGTGTGAGCAACAATGCACCAGTCAGTGAGTCAGTGGCTTTGTTTCCATTGGTTTATTTAAAAAAAAAAAAGAGGCAACTGAATAATAGCCATGAGTAGTTTACATGATCACACTTTCTATTTGAGCCAAAGAAAGACACAAACCTGAACCTCCTGATTTACTGGGAAACAGCAGATATGACAACTACAAGAAGATATGAACAGTCTGGATGTGCTCTTCTCTCCGTTCCTACCACACATTAAACTGAAGCTCTTCCTCCTTTGTTAAACACGTGATCGCAGAATAAGCATCACATGTCATGTGTAAGCCGGAGTATTCCATTTCTTCAAAATAAAACTTTTGGCTTGATTTGGATTCCCTTCTGTGGGCCTCTACACGTGGAAAGCAAAAAAAACACAAAAATATTGCTACATATATTAAAATCTTATGTCAAAATGTTAGCCGACATTGTTACAACAGGCACACATTATGCTTAACTTTCTCGTTAATATGTTAGGATCTATATAGTGATGTCAGTAAAACAAAGGTTAAATATAAAAGTAAAAGTGCAGTAGCTGAGTGGGGTGGGGGGGGGGTCTGGTTGGATTGATGAGTGTTATAGACAGCAGCACTGAAGGTTGAAGGGTCACAGGGGTCAAGCACAAAGCTCTATGCTTCCTACATGATATTATAAAGTAAATAACTTAATATGCAGGCCCACAGGAATAGCCCCACCTGCTGGCCAGTGTGTGAACCACATATGTCCTTGAGACACGTTTTAAAAACACAGAAAATAACCACACATAATAAACCTGTATGTGATACACAACTCAAATAATGTGTCAATGGTTTTTCCCTCTTAACAGATTGAACCTGAACCTCCCACGGGCCTGAGAACTGAAATGATAAAATTCCCATTTTTTTCCTACTAAAAAGGCCAGAGGCCGTGGTGAAATGTTTTCAACCAAGCAGTGATCCTCAAAATAACACAAACACAACCTCCAAATTCCACTGAGTGCAACTAATATATATACAAACATGGCTTAACAGGAACACAAATCATAACAGTGCTGGCTTCTACTTAAGGCCTCATACCAATAAAACACACGCAACACAAGGACCTGAAGCAAAAGGCAGACCCATTCTTTTTTCATAACCTGGTGTCTGATATGGTTCTGACCTCGCCTTCAGCCTGGCCCCACCCGCCTGCCGACGGGTGCATGCTGGGACCTGTAGGCAAGGCCCACTTTTTGACATGCCATGCAGTCGCTTGCAAGAGGCGGGGGAGGAAAAAACGGGGGAGGACGGCACATGGACGGTCACCAGACATCCGTGCAAAACAATGGACTACCGTAAAATCATTATATTAATACTGGCATGTTAAGAGCATGGTCTGACTACAAGATTAGCCTGGCAGTGTGCCGTTAAGCCAGCTAGCACTTAAAAGTCTAGTCAGTAAGTAATAAAAGTATGTTGTTGAATCCCTTCTCTGACTGTAAGAGTTTTTATTTGCAGATGATACTGTTTTATTACAGACTAAAGCTTTTCCAACCCACTACTGAACAAGCCCTTAAAATAGCAAGACTCTGGATGCTCAGTCTTTCTCTCACTTTCTCTTCTGACATTAATAAACATGCAAAGACTGCACTCTCCTTTCTTTTCATACCTTCATCTTCTTGTCTCATCCACATCCACAAACCTTCATTCACTTGCATTTCATCTCCTCCTGCCCACCACCTCCTCTACCTGTACCTGAACATCCAGAGCCTCACAGAGAAACTATACAACCTAAATAAGATTCATACATGACTGAGAAGGTATCAGGAGCTCAATAACCCACTCAGAGGCAAGCTAAGGCCTCAATAACTAGCATCATGGTATACATATACAAACACAGACACTGCGGTATCACTAGAAACAGTCAGTTTAGTTAAATTGTGCTTTAAAATTAAGTCAGAAAAAGGAGGGATCGTTCTGCCCACCAGAAGCCCTGACTCCTCTCTCCAAAGGCAGAAAGGAGGAGAGATGAGGGGAGGATGAAGAGGGTGGAGGTGTAAAACATGGGTTCATGTTCTGGAGCGTGTGCCCTTCTGGTCCTTACACCTCGTCCCCTCAGCGTTTGGATGAACTCGACGGGAAATGGGAGACAGAGGCAAGATGCCGGCGCCGTTCTTTGAGGTTTCCCCAGGGTGATGGGGGGAGGGCCAGGGAAGTTGGGTGAGGAGGGGGTGTTGGGTTAACGGATGACTTCCCCGCTCGCGCGCCAATCATCGCCGGAAGGCTCTGGTTGCGCCTCAGGCCGTCCAATAGGCTTCCTCCGCTTGCTGACACGAAAGTAGCAGAATCCTGGCGTGGCACTGAGGCCTCCGACTCTGCACCCTGGAGCACCTTGGTGAATCCCAGCCGCCGCAGCCTCTCCACTAGGCCGACGTTGACTGGGTCGGGCCTGGCTCTGCCTGGCTTAAGGGACGGGATGAGGGCTGGGGTTTCCTGGGATGAGCTCGGTAGGTCGGGATGTGGTGCACGGCCCAAATTCAACCCGTAAACGTCCTGGAGAAAAAGCTCTGCTGGCCGCGATGCTAGGAAATTGTCAGCCGGGTGTTGGCGGGGCTCCATCGGCACCGGGGAGGGAGCAGGGGAGTGTGAGGGGGAGTTAGGGGGTGTGCTTGGGAGGAGGTGGAAGAGGGGCTGTCGGGATGTGGGTTTCGGGGATGAAGGGGGGGTGCCAGTGGAGACTTGTGCAGAAATGCCTCTCTCAAGAACCAGCTTGGCCAGGCCGCAGGGAGGTGCAGGGGGGCGTCGAGGGGGAAATGAGTCACCCAGACTCAGCCTGCAAGGAGTTACAGGGGTACTGGGACCTGTCCTCATGGAGCTGGGTGTGTTGGCCAAGAGGCACGACTGAGAACTGAAAGACATGAAGACAGAGACAGGGTGAGGAAAAGAGAGACACATGGAAGCTGTATAATAATAAAAAAAGAAATGACATAAAAGTTTTCTTTGTTCTTTATAGAGAACTTACCTTTGGGTGACCTGTGTGATGTCACTGGGGTGCAGGATGCGACACGTTGTGAAGGTGTAGGTGGAGAAGGTGGAGCTCTGACACTTGCCTGGATTTTGGACTGAACACACAAAAACAATATACTCGTCATGGCAACAATGAGCATTAATATCTTCACATTGCACACTAGCATATTCTATGTTTATGTTTTATTTTAAGTAGTACTTACCAGAGGAAGATGTTGTTGTTGATGTCGAGGTGCAAATGACTTGAATTTGTGATTGGACCGTTGTTGTGCAGACAGCTGGTGTGGGCTGAGATGACAGGCTGGATTTCTCAGTGAGGTGTTGGGGTGCGGGGGTCATGCAGAGGGTTGATGGGACTGGGGAGGAGGTGGCAGGCGTCTCAGGCAACGTCGGCAGGGGGGGCGGGAGAGGCGTGACAGGGAGAGGCGACACCGAATGCTTTCTGTCCTTCTTCTCCTCCGGCGTAGACGAAACACGCACCTTGAAGGTGATCCCGCCTTCCTCCTCTTCCTCATCCTCCTCTTCCTTACCCCGCTCTGACGCCCCCTTCTCCAGGGCACAGGTCCCTCTGTACTCTTCATCCTCCTCGTCCTCTTCCATGTCGGACAGGCGGTAGACCGCATCCTGAACCAGCGGGCAAAAACCCTTGGTCACCACCCCAGGGTGGGGGTCCAGGATGGTGGCCAGGTGTGGTTTGGCCAGCTGCTGCCAGTGATGGAGCGTCAGAGAGCCTGAAAGGAATGTCACAATGTTACGGTTTGATGGATCAATGAGAAACATTCTTACAGTCACATTTTTGCACAAAGCAGCCAGTGATTTTTTAAAATTATAAATAAATAAATTACCCAGTTACTGCTTTCAGACATTTGCCTAACCCTAACCCTTTTTGGGTCTTGGACTATTTAAAAGTAAGTCAGGATGAACTCTAGTTAACGGCGGTTATGAGGATGTTTCACTATTTTATAGACGTGTAAAATATCTCATAAACTAAACCAATTAGGATAACAAATTTACAAGCCATTCGTACTCCTACTTTGGGTGCGAGTGCGGGTAAGCGCCCTCACTGAGCCCCTCAAGTCTGAATATTTTGCTAAGCCAGAGGGAGCCAGTCAGTCACCAAGAAGCTCAATGCATCAAGAAACGTGTCACCAATAATTTTACCCAATTTTCACAAGAGACCGAGGAGGAGCTGATGTGACAGAGCCTGAAATCGCTCCATCTAATGAAGGAACGCTGTTAGAGTAGTGTAACATTGATGCACTGCAGCATGCAAACACTATGTGACATCGTTGGCTTCTTGGTTCAAATTTAATCAGTTACGCAACAAATTGCTCTCGACAGCTGCTCCGCTTTGGGACTGCACAGCTGGACAGATAACCTTACCTTCCATGGGCTTGACGATCTGTAGCTTCTCAGGCAGGAAGGTCTTGAACACGCTGGAGCTGAAGGAGAGTTCCGACAGGTTGGAGAAAGAGGAGAGCACGCTGCCCATCGGCGAGCTGCAGCCGCTGCCCTCGCCGTCTCCGTCTGCCCCCGCCAGCGCCTGCAGCTTCCTCTCGCGCTCCGCCTGGAAGAACTGGCGCTCGCAGAGGAAGTTCTGCCGCCGCAGCGACAGGCGGTGGAGAGCTCTCGTCAGGTCGTTTCCTCCAGGAGAGCCAGGCTGGCCCAGTCGCACCTCCTCCCTGCAAATACACACATTTAATGAGCTGAAAGGGACAAAACTTAAGTTAAAATTCAAGGCAGGAAAAAAAAAAAAAAAAAAAAAAAAAACACTGTAACGCACCCCTGAACGGACTGGAAGGGCTGTGCAGTCATCACTAGAGAGCTCTGGCCTGAGCCGGGGATAGGAGGAGTGGCTGAAGCTGGCCGCGATGTGGATGAGGAGTTGATGGAGCGGACTGTTTGGAAGACTCGCTTCTGGGATACTCTGCAGAGAGAAGAGGTCAAAGGTCAAAGACAAGCCACTGTAGACTACTGAACCAGAAGTTGCAGCCGTTATGACCCTGAGGTTGATTATAACGTGCAATATGACTGCCATCTGTCTAAAAGACTAGTGAGGGAAATAAATGTGGATTACTGGATCGAGTGCTTTAAGTATCCTATAAAAAACACTTTATGTGATTTATGTGAAGAGGTGTAAAGACAACTTACTATATTACAGGAACACTCACTAAATTCACCCAATGAGACTGTGGTGGGAAGTGGGATTTAATTATCCTTAAGTAGCAGAAAGTCAAACCAGTCTCAGAAACAAAGAACCCCTTTTTCATTAGATCTGTTTTTTTTTTTCCAGGAGTGAAGTTTGGGATTTCTGACCTTTGGTCCTGAAAGGCAATCTCTTCTTCTACACTCAACTCTCTCCTCATGGTGCCCTCGATCTCAGCTGCCAGAGAGTCCTGTACACACAAACACACACATAAGTTTAAAAAGGTGCCCTCTGGAGCACTTTCTAGTAAAACAAGCTAAAGTTATGTTTACATTCAGTGTTAAGCTGCATTCATATTATATACGTTAACACGATTTAACATGAAACTAGCAGTAGTAATGTTTATTGTGTTGCATGGATCTATGGCTGTTGAATTAAGAATTAAGACTCTGTATAGCAAATATGTGTTTAAGAGGAAATAAACTAAGCAGCGATTGTAAAATCTATTTGGAAATCTATGCTGTACCTTTCTACGCTGAAGTTGTGAATTTCTATCTCTCTCTTGGCACTGCTACATAAAACATAAGTGTGTTGCTCTCACCATGGGGTAGAGGCCGTAGGAAAGGTGCCTTCGCATCCCAGCAGAGGGAGTGTTTTTACTGCGAAGCTCTTTGATCTCCTCCTGGGACTCATGGAGCATCTCTACGCACTCCACATTCCTGTCCGCCAACTCGTTCAGCTGCAACACACACACACACGCACACACACAGAGGTTATCTAAATGACTGTTTTTGTATGTAGCAATTCTTTTTTTTTTTTTTATATATACTATAATAGTAGTAGTATAATCACTGAATGTAATAATCTGGGTTAGTAGTGCAAAGTAATGTATATGTGAGTTGCTCTAAAACTGCTCCAGTTCAGGAGTCCATTTATACATGAACAGAGAGGCTCCTGTGAGACTGTACCTCTGCTGTGAGCTGTCTCTGAGCATCTTTAGAGGCCTGCAGGTGGATCCTCAGCTCCTCTTTCTCCAGAGCCAGCTGCGTACACACAACATAAGCACTTAAACACAGATGCACACACACACACGCAATAAATGTGATATCTTACAGTACAAAATGTATTTACATGAAATCCAGTGCTATGGATTTTTTTTTTCCTTTTCTTTTTCATGGTTTTTGCAAGCCCCAAGTAAATTTTAAAAGTATTACAATACAGGAATTGAAATTACAGACAGTCTGGCCACAGTACAGCATACATGGTCCAGCCACATACTGGGTTTAAACCTAGCCTCTCAAGTCCAGACTATGGTCCAAGTTATGTGACTCAAGTCTACGCCTCTGGAACATAAGAGTTTGTATTCTGTAACAGTAGTTTAGTCTTCACACCTCCTTCACTCTGTGTTGCAGCTCCACAATCTGGGACAGCAGCTGAGCGATTTCCTCCTGGTGTCTGAGCAGCTCCTCATTCTTCTGAGACAGTTCATCTGTCAGAGACACCATCTGGCTGTTGGACTCGCCTAGAACCAACACACACACACACACACACAAACACAGACCAAAGTTAACATGAGCCTTCAGATAACGAGACTTGGGCTTTTGAGTGTAAATGTGTGTGTATAAGTCACTCACGGAGCTCCTTCACACAGTCGCTCACAAGCTGCTGTTCCTTCTCCTCGTAGGTGATGGTGTCGCTCTTCAGTTGACATGCCTGGAGTGGAGATGTAGAGGGGAACCGGTCAGTCTTGCACTCATTTTCATTGTAATTCACATCCTGTTTCCACTGTCAACACAACTTATCATCATAAAAGGCCCCTACTGAAACCCAAACCTGAAGCAGGGGAAGAATCTTTCTATTTGGTTGCATCACAGTATGCTTTATGAATCAATCTCCCATTGTTTTAATGCAGACATACCACCAAATCAGCCAGGATGACAAATGAAATATGCACTGAATGTTCTGGCAATGCCCTCCGTAATTTCATTAATCAGTAATTATATCGACTTCTTCTTGTGGTTATGATTTAAAGCTTCCTGTTTCACTTCCTGTTATTTTCTGTTCTAGTCTCCACTATTAGCTCGTCTGTCCGATGTATACCTCGTACCTCAGATCTCAGTGCCAGGTTCTCCTCCTCCAGGTCCTGCAGCTTGCTCTGCAGAAACTCCAGCTGGCTGAGTGCCGCAGCGGCGGTGGTTCCCCCAGGTGGCAGGGGCTGCCGCAGCGGTGTGGACACGCTGGAGTCGGTTTCGCTCTCCTCCGAAGCGCTGGCCACCATCCGCAACAACTCATCTTTCTTACTGAGCTCGTGCTGCAGCTGGTGAACCTGGCCAATGGGGAAAGTTTTGGCAAGGGTGAGTAATATGCAGATTCAGAGGTTCAGAGAGAAACAGAAAGCATTTTTTAGTTCTCATTTCTCTACTTTTATTAGTGCTCACCAATTACTTATATTCCCCTTTAAACTAAGGTGAACTTAAAACTAACTTAAAAGTTACTTCTTAATAAGATAGATTATATTGGTGTATCTCATGTATTACTTTGGTTTAACCCTTATCTTCAGAAATGACTGGGTTTCTTTTCCTTGCATTGGATTGGTTAAATTATTGAATTATTGAGAAGGGTGTACCACAAGGATCAATTCAAGGGCCACTTTTTGATGTTCTTTTTCCTGTTATATCCAGATGACACCATTATATATATATATATATATATATAATTCTGATGCAACTAAAATACAAAGCTCTCTGCAATCATAAACAAAATGAATAACTAGCGTGTGTAGGCTACCTGGTCCAGGGCCTGTGCTAGTTGCTCCTCTAAGGCCTCGTTGCGTTCCTGCAGCAGGTGGTTCCTCTGCAGAAGTGACTGACCGATCCGAGCTGCAAGCTCCAAGTCTCTGTCCCGCTGTCCAATGAGAGCACAGAGCACCCAGAGTCAATTAACCAATTACATGCTCTTTCTTAATAGAAGAATAAGTGAATAACACATTGTTACAAAGGACACCTACCTCAGCCAAAAGTTGCGTGACCACTTCCATGTCATTGTAAGTCTTGGTCATCTGCTCCACGCGATCAGCACTGAGGACTGACCAGAAAGAAAATGTTACTTTTAGGAGACACACAGGCAAACACACACACATGCAATCTTTTACGCACATCGGGGCATGTGCATGCAAAATGTGCATCAAATAATTCCACAAAAACATCTAAAGTAAAAATAAAATATCACTCCAAACTAATGGACATACTTCTGTAGCATGCCGCCTTTAGTTTCTACCTAATAAAATGCTCTGACCACAAGCAACATGAGCAGCCACTTGCGAACCAATTATGAACTAGTGTGGTTAAATTAGGTCAGGTATATTGCTGTAACACTGATATAGCTCCACAATGTGGCAGTGTGGTTGCTCGTGGTCTGAATGTAATGAAGCCACAACAATCCTATACAGATATAAAGAGACCGCACACACACTATACAGAGCTACAGGACTACAAGCTGTCTACAGTGGCAGGCAGCAGACCTATGCTCCGCAAATCTCTTGTCTGCTGTCATCTACATGCAACAAGCAGAGAGGGGCTCCAGCTCTGTGGCTCTGGGCTACTTCCAGATCCAGGTCAAAGTGCAGCTTTTCTGAGCCACATTGTGGACTGAAGCCCCTCTCTCAAACTGAAGCTCAATGAAAAAGCTGGAGAACAGAACAGGAAGTCAGAGAGAGAAAGATACCTTTGGAGAGGCTCTGAGAGCCGGGGTGGGAATAAGAAGAGGGCTCCAAAGCAAGATACGCTAGTGAGAGATTGGAGAGAGAAGAGAAGGGAGAGTTCAAAAGGTGAACAAGCAAACAGCTTGTTTTGAGATGAGTGGGAGAAAAACACAGAAAGAAAAGGAGGAAAAGAGCTGCATAGAGAGTAGAAGCTAAGGGTGAAAGCTGAAGCTTCAATAAATCAACTTCATATAGAAACATTAGTTTGTTGAGAGAATCTATACATCAATTAGTCAGGTCCGCCTTTAGCACCTGAGTGGGTGTCACCAGCGCTGCACCGCTCCCCCTTCCACCTGTTTAAAGAAAAGTGGCATCTCTAATCACTGAAACATTGCCTTTTACTGAGAATCATTAAACAGTCTGAGGAAGGACTCTGGCCTCACAAAATGGCACCCTGAATATGTCAATCTTGCGCCATGCTTCTTTGGTTATATCTGCAGCAATTTCAACACATATACATAAAACCTTAAATCAGCACTATATATAATTAACTCTAAGTGAAATATATAACTGATGCAATTTACTGAAAGAAGATCCATAAAAAGAAAAGTGACTGACTTATAATTGCAACTACTGAGAATCTTTGATCAAACAATCCACATTTCATCAGGAATTAAAACGTAATAATCAGTGCTTGTAAGCCTCAAGTGAATCAGCTGCTCAAGAGCTGTCGTCCAGTAATCTGAGGCCGACTGTGACCTCTGGATCTGGACGCTGCACTCCCCCTTTAACAACAGACTGTTAAAAATACCCTCTGCCTAAGAGCTATCTTTGTTATACACACAGGAAGACAGACACTGTGCACACACAATGCATATAATATCTCATGTTACTGTACATTTGACGCCAAGTATGCTTCTCTCTCTCTCTCTCTCTCTCTCTCTCTCTCACACACACACACACAAATCCCTTTACCTGCTGGGAAGGTCATGGTGTCACTGTAAAAAATGCGTCCATGCTTCGGTGTGATCATGATCTACCAAAATAAAAAACCTCCAAATGCACACACAGAGCGATACACCAGTGTGGGTTGTGTTTAATTGTAAAAGTCGGTGGCTGAACTCTGGCCACAAACTGCATAACTGCAAAGTCCAATGAGTTATGACATTTTATTTTGATATTGATTCTTGAGCTGCATGCATTCTTGCACACGGGGCAATGGTCAATGGGTGACTTGATAAGAAACACTTTTGATTCATGGTTGTTTGGACCTTTGGCACTAAACTGAAAAGTGAAAGAAGGCTGAAGGTCAACTTGGAGGGTCCATACATCGCACCGAGACAGAGGCAAGACAGACTTTGTCAAGTCAACTGTGTTGCTGATGTGGTTTTGTGAGCTCGGATCAGGCAGGACACACACACGTGAGCTACAGAGTTTCCAAGACTAGAAAGTATTAGAAGCGGGCTGATCCTGTAATTGAAGTCCGTCCATGTGGTGAGACTCTGACTCATCGCTTTCACCCGCTGACAAAACCACATGCTCATATATAATTCATTATTACATCACATACCAACTTTTTAAACAATAAGGAATATTAATGAACTCCCTCAGCAAGATCTGTTAAAACACAGTAACATTTGCAAATATTACTTTATGAAATTTCAAAATTTTTGTGCATCTACATTAAAAAAACGATGTAACTGTCTAAAGTTTCTGCTGCTCAAACAAATTTTTTTGCCAGGTCTACATCTGACAGCTCCCTCTTCCAATTTCACAACATGACACAAAAATAGGATACTTGAGATGCTTGTGAAATGTTTAGGCTGTTTAAACATTGTCAGCATTGTCGACATATGTCAAAACGACACTTCTCGAAGGGTTCTCGCAGCATTTCTTCATCTATGTTTGCTTTTCAGACAGCCTGGCGGCATTCAGATATTAACATACCATGCCCCTGCGGGAGCATCAGGCGCTATTAATATACCGCACTGCAGAAGTGGAGCAAATGTCTCACTGAGCAGGAACATGAAACCGAGACTCCCTTACTGTACCCCTTCTCTCACACGTGCAGTTTGCAAACCCAGACACACGCACACACACAC